TCAGCAAATGTCTATTTAGAGCTTCCAATAACTAAGAACTGGAGGGAGATAAGATCGGGAGCATTTCTGTGACTTAAAAGTTTTGATACACACCAGGGTTATAATTTGGAATGAAATGGCAAATACTATATGCAATAGTAAATAAGGACGCCTGGTGGCGCTGCAGGCTAGGAGTTTGAATGAAGGTCTCTGGCTACCCGGGACTCCATTAAGCTGAGAATCAGAACTCCGACTGCTTTCTAAAAGAAGGAAGCATTTTAAGTAAGACCTAGTGGCAGAGATCTTCAGAGAGGGCATCGTTCTAGTGCAAGTCAGTCAGAAAGATCTAATTCGAGGTTATTTAACGAAGTCATCTGGGTTGACTGTATACCGAGTTGAAGAAACTGCACCTTCTTGAACCGGGTCTTAACAATGGAGACAGCGCTAGCAAAAACGCCACAGAAAAGGCAAGTTATCTTTCTTGCTCTATTGTTGTTTTTGTGGGAGGCTGGTTCTGAAGCAATTAGGTATTCCATGCCAGAAGAAACGGAAAGTGGCTCCTTTGTGGCCAACCTGGCAAAAGACCTGGGGCTCAGGGTGGGGGAACTGGCCACTCGGGGCGCGCGAATCCATTACAAAGGAAACAAGCAGCTCTTGCAGCTGGATATAAAGACTGGGAATTTGCTTCTATATGAAAAACTAGACCGGGAGGTGCTGTGTGGGGCGACAGATCCCTGTATACTGCAATTCCAACTATTACTGGAAAACCCAGTGCAGTTTTTTCAAGCTGATCTGCAGCTCACAGATATAAATGACCATTCGCCAGAGTTCCTAGACAGGGAAACGCTCCTAAAAATCCCAGAAAACGTCCAGCCAGGGACTGTGTTTCCTTTGAAAATAGCGCAGGACGTTGACATAGGTAGCAACACTGTTCAGAACTACACAATCAGCCCCAACTCCCATTTTCATGTTGTCACTCATAATCGCGGAGGTGGCAGAAAATTCCCGGCGCTGGTGCTGGACAAAGCGCTCGATAGGGAGGAGCGGCCCGAGCTCAGTTTAACCCTCACGGCGCTGGACGGTGGGGCTCCGCCCAGGTCTGGGACGACTGCCGTCCGCATTGAGGTCGTGGACATCAATGATAACGCCCCTGAGTTTTCACAGCTGCTCTATGAAGTACAAGTCCCGGAGAACAGCCCCCTAAACTCCTTAGTTGTCACTGTCTCTGCCCGAGACTTAGATGAAGGAACGAATGGGAATGTAGCCTATACTCTTTTCCAAGGCGATGAAGTTAATCAACCATTTGTAATAGATGAGAGAACAGGAGAAATTCGTCTGAAAAAGGCATTGGATTTTGAGACAACTCAATATTATAACGTGGAGATTGCGGCCACAGATGGCGGGGGGCTTTCAGGCAAATGCACTGTAGCTATACAGGTGCTGGATGTGAATGACAACGCCCCTGAACTGACCATGTCGAGGCTCACCAGCTCTACCCCAGAAAACTCACCAGAGACTGTGGTTGCTGTTTTCAGTGTTTCTGATCCAGACNAAACGACAGCAACTTGTCTGTTCCCCTTCCCCCAATTCCCCAGCACTGTTCCCATCCCCCCAATTCCCCAATTTAAAAAAAAAGAAATAAAGAAATAAGTACAAAAAGGGGACTGTTGGAAAATATGAATATAATAAATAAAAATCTCAATAGAAGGGCTTGAAAATAGGGCTAAGAAAACATCCCAGGAAATATTGCAAAAATATTTTTCAGTGGCAAACAGGAGAAGAAAAAAAACCCCAGAAAAATAAAGAAATCAGAAACCATACTAGAAGCCCAACATCCAAATTGTAGGAATTCCAAAAAAAATAGCAGAAAAAAATGTTGATGAAGTAACTCAAGAAAATTTCTAAGAGCTGGAGGAAATTAGTTTCCTAGTTGAAAGGGTTTACCAATTGTCCTGTACAATGGATGAAAATAAGCGCAAACCAAGACACATAAGTGTTTAATTTTAAAATGCTTGGGACCATGGAAAAATACCACAACAAGAAATAAAAACACAGGTCACATACAGAAAATACATAATAAAATAAGATGAACTTTAGACTTCTTAACAAACACATTAGTTTAGGGAGCTAATTGAAAAAATATTTTAAAATTCTGAAGAAAAATTATTCCCAACCTAAAACCCTATCATCAGTCAAACTTCCAATCAAGTTTGAGAGTAGAATAAATGTAATTTAATACACTCAAGGTCACAACATAATTTAACTCTCATACACCATTCTCCAGAAACTACTGGAAGATAACTTATCACAGTGAGTGAGTAATCTAAGTGAGAAGAAGTCTGAAGATACAGAAAAAAGAAGATTCGAAATAGAACAGAAGTGAAATGAGTCTCCAGATGATGTTGAAAAATGATCCCAGGATGACAACTATGTCTCAAGTATAGACTAGTCCAGTTTGGAGCTGTATGAGACAGGCATTTTGAAGGATATCATCAGCAAGTCCCCTGACATATTATCAGCTGGATGAAATGATTGGAGGATGTGCTCTATTAAAGCCAAAGAGTAAACAAAAAAAGAAGAAAAAGTAAAATCCTAGAAATAGTAAATTCAACCAGAATAAAAGGCAAAGACAATTCCAAGAATAACAACATGATAGTTGTGCAGCATGTGTAGAGACCTCCCACCCAATTTAAGGGAAAATTGATATTTCAGGAGATATGGGAATGACCATGTGGAAAACGGTATTGAGAGGCAATCGGACATGTGGGAAGAATAACTGATAGATGTAAAGGAAACCAAGTAAATGAAAAAGCAAAGCAATTATTAACTTTAAGAAAAAAGTGAGAAAGGAAGTATAATTAGTACACAACAATGCTCCCAATGATATTGTGAGTGCAAGAAGGCAGGCAAGGGCCGTGGAAGCGTACGAGAGTTAAAACTTAATCCAACATACTAAGGAGTCAACTGATCATGTCTAAAATTAATCAAAATACAGAAGAATACAGATTAATGGCAGAAGAGATAACTAAAAGAGTTTAAAATGGCTGCCTATTGAGAAATGAACTAGGAACGTGAGGAGGGAAACGGCAGAAAACAATTGTATTTGTTTTCTTAAGCCTCTTAATACCATTTGATTTTGAACCAAGGTCTTAAATTATTTTGAAAAACAATGCATTTTTTTTAAAAAGAATGCATTTTAAAAGATCAGGAAAATAGAGATCTTGCAAGTCTCCCGAGGAATAAAAAGTAGATAAACTACTAAACACTACTAATAAGAATAAAGATATATATAAAGATGAATAATACAATGAAAACATAATACAAGAAATTTGCAAATCCAGATAAAATGGTTTTAAAAATAAAATACAAATTACTTTAAAAGGAAACAAAACCTGTACAGATTAATAACCAAAAGTAAAATGGGGAGGAGTCATAGACTTACACCAGCAAAGCCACCAAACCTAACCCACTTAAAAGGCAAGTTGTAATTAAGCATATAGAAACAGATGACGGTATCATTGTAAAAAGTATTCTGTTGCATAAAAATAGATGGAAAGCTTTCTAACCCATTCTATGAGGCCAGGATAGTTTAATACCAAAACCACAGAAGTTAAACACACACACAGAGCAACATGGGCCAGAAAAATCCTAGAATGATGTTGACACATCAAATCCATGTGTGCATTAAAAAATGTCATGATTAAATGACATTTATATCAAGAACTTGAAAATTAAAAAACTAAAGAATAAAAGTACAATTCCAACATATGTCAAAATTACTTTAAAATCTGAAATAAGAAAAAGATGAAAACTTTCTTGACCCCAAAAAGGATCATTTACTTCAAATGGAGATCAACTATCACAGTTAAAGATGAAATACTAGGAGCACTTCCACAAAGGCAAGAATGACCTACCTGCTGTTGTTAATTTTAAGAGTATTCATTGCATACCCTTGGAGATGCTAGCCATTGAAGTTATATGTGAACAGTAATTAAAATTATATTATTACTTAAAGTGGATAAAGGGTGGAAGTGGGGGACAGAAAGTGTTCCAGAAAATATCATTGGTAAAGAGTGAAGACCTTGAAACTAGGATTGTTAAAGAAGAAAAAAACAAACAAAAAAAAAACCCCTGAAAAAAAGGGCCAGTTACTCTGCAGTATGAACAACTTTATTGTTACACAGTTAACAAATAAATTAAAGGTCTTCAACCAATATTTGTTGACTTTTTGATGAAGGCTTCATTTTCTTATATATTCTTTACTATCAATTTTAAAAACAGGAGAAAGTTTACTTAGGATTTTACTCCCGGTGGAGTAAAAATTTTGTTTTTCTACGAATTCATACTATAACAGGGAAAGACGATGTAAGCACTTACTAGCAATATTGTGACCACTTGAGGAAAAAATAGAATGAAACAGCAAAGACACTGGAGGACAAAAATCACTCCTGTTGCTGTTCCCTTTAATCCGCTATCTTCTTGTTCTATTCTTGAAAAGGGGAATAACATTCACAAAACGCAAGGTGGCGCTGCTGGCTAAAAAGAGAAAAAGACACACACAAATGATGTTGCAGATTCCAGCATTAGGAGGAAATCTGGCCGGACAAGAAAAGTAGAGGAAAGGAAGCCGTGGTAACAGGAGTTGGGGGAAAGTGGGGATCCCTCCCCACAAGCATTGCTATTATAAGCTCATTTCTAAGGATTCGGTTGCTGCCATTTTTGAAAGCTGCTTGTGACCGAGTAAAAGTGGTTTTGAAAGACTGGTTAAAGGAAGAATGGAGGCCAGAGTGGAGCGTGCGGTGCAGAAAAGGCAAGTCCTATTTCTTTGTGTATTTCTGGGAGTGTCTTGGGCTGGCGCAGAGCCGCTTCAGTATTTCGTGGCAGAGGAAACCGAGAGAGGCACCTTTCTGGCTAACGTAGCAAATGACCTGGGTTTGGGGATAGGGGAACTGTCAGCCAGGGGATCCAGAATCGTTTCCGATCAGAACATAGGATTTTTACTACTCAATCCGCTTACTGGTGATTTACTTTTAAATGAGAAATTAGACCGAGAGGAACTGTGTGGGCCCACAGAGCCCTGTGTGCTGCCTTTCCAGTTGTTACTGGAAAAACCTTTTCAGATATTCCGCGCAGAACTATGGGTCAGAGACATCAACGATCATTCTCCAGTGTTTCTAGATAGAGAGATTCCCTTGGAAATACTAGAAAGCACCACACCAGGGGCGGCATTTCTCCTAGAAAGTGCACAGGATTTAGATGTTGGGACCAACAACCTGAGAAACTACACCATCAGCTCCAATGCCTATTTCCATATTAATGTCCATGATAGTGGGGAGGGGAATATCTATCCCGAATTAATACTGGATCGAGTGCTGGATCGAGAAGAGGTGTCTGAGCTCAGTTTAACCCTCACCGCCTTGGATGGTGGTTCTCCTCCCAGATCCGGGACCGCCCTGGTACGCATCCTGGTTTTGGACATAAATGACAACGTCCCTGAATTTGTACAGTCGCTCTACAAGGTGCAGGTGCCAGAGAACAGCCCTGTTGGCTCCCTGGTTGTCGCCGTGTCAGCTAGAGATTTAGATACCGGAAGTAATGGGGAAATAGTTTATGCATTTTTTTATGCCACTGAAAGAATTCTCCAAACGTTCCAAATCAACTCAACATCTGGCAAACTTCATCTTAAAGCTCAATTGAACTATGAAGAAATACAAACTTATACATTAACTATTCAGGCCAAGGACAGGGGAGGGCTTTCTGGAAAATGTACGGTGGCGGTTCATGTAACAGATATCAATGATAATCCACCGGAACTGCTCATGTCATCACTTACTAGCCCAATTCCAGAAAACTCAGCCAAGACAGTCGTGGCTGTTTTTAGGATTAGAGACAAAGATTCAGGGAACAATGCAAAGATGGTGTGCTCCATCCAAAATGATCTCCCCTTCGTCCTGAAGCCATCTGTAGAGAATTTCTACACCCTGGTAACAGAGAGCCCGCTGGACAGAGAGAGCCAAGCCGAGTACAACATCACCATCACCGTCACCGACTTGGGGACCCCTAGGCTGAAAACCCAGCACAACATAACCGTGCTGGTCTCCGACGTCAACGACAACGCCCCGGCCTTCACCCAAACCTCCTACACCCTGTTCGTCCGCGAGAACAACAGCCCCGCCCTGCACATCGGCAGCGTCAGCGCCACAGACGCAGACG